AATGCACAATTTGGATTATAGATTATAAACACAAGGTAATAAGACCAAATCCAAATAAATAAATAGTGTGTGACATTTCAGTAACAGCGTTGTTACCATCTTCAGACAAAAGTACTGAATGAGAAATTTTACCACAGCATGTTTTAAATAGCTACTGTTATCAAGTGTGTAAACAAGATAGCAGATAAGAAGAAGATAGTTAAAACAAGCTGTTTTAAAATTTCTCATTCAGTACTTTTGTCTAATGATGGTAACAACGCTGTTACCAAAACGTCACACACTATTTATTTATTTGGATTTGGTCTTATTACCTTGTGTTTATTAGACAATTAACATAGTTTTATTGACATTTTGTCAATACATGCAAAAGTGCACAATCTGCACTATTTCAAAATGATAATTATATATATGCATAACACTATGTACAAAGAATATGGGGTCTCTGCCACCGCTGCAGAGTTTGGTGGAGAATCCCCAGCGGGTCTTTTCATATACAAGAGAGAGGTATGCCATATATATATATTTCCCAATTTTATGGGGAATTGTATCTTTGATTCCAGAAGAAATTTCAGAATTCTAAAAGTTGCTGGCACACAGATGTCAAATGTTAAAATCTAATCCAAGAAACCTTACAAGAGTTGTCTGAAAAAGGAAACTCCCTAAACCAGTATAATGTCCCAAGTATATGGCGCAGTACTCCATCATGGGAAGTTGGTTGACATCAATTTAGAGGGCTGGCAATGGGACAAATTAAATGTATATTGTCAAATGAGCAGCTCTTGCTGTCGTGTGGATGGTAACTTCTTCTTCTTCTTCTTTCTTATCTCCACACTGGGTGAAGTAAAATGCGTCTGCCTTTGTCATTAAGACTGGGAGCACTACTCAGTGGCAGGCCGACTTAGCTCCAAAAAAAAAATGGCCGCCTCTGACATGAGGAACAGACGCCATGTGCAGCCGCTCCTAACATGGAGTACAGACGCTGCTTATCCTGTATCCCTGGATTAGGAGCCCTTACAGGTGCTATCAGCCAGGCCAGCTGAACCCAGGTTTTTTACCGAGCTTGTTACTGCTCCCCCTCCTCCTTTTTCATCCGGGCTTGGGACCGGCAAAGGTGGAGTTGGATGGTAACTAATGTAGTGAAATACCCAGAAGTGTTTCTTTCTGGGCTAACAATACCCAAACTTGAAAATATCTTGTGTTCAGATGTGTGTGCTAGTCAATATGATTGTGTAAATTGCTCTTTTGTTAAATTAAAATTTTCCTAATTTATATGATGATAACAAACATTTCTGGTCTGTGGTGCATGGCTCACTCAGTGTCTTTCTTATCTCCACTCAATCATATTAGGTTGTGACCCTTGATGGTGTCTGTTTGACAACCATCATGACTGGGTGAAGTAGAATGCCTTTGTCATTAAGACTGGGAGCACTACTCAGTGGCAGGCCGACTTAGCTCCAAAAGAAATGGCCGCCTCTGACATAACGAACAGACGCCATGTACAGCCACTCCTAACATTGAGTACAAACGCTGCTCATCCTGTATCCCTGGATCAGGAGCCCTTACAGGTGCTATCAGCCAGGCCAGCTGAGCCCAGGTTTTTACCAAGCTTGTTACTGCTCTCCCTCCTTCTTTTTCATCTCGGCTTAGGACCGGCAAAGGTGGAGTTCTCACTTAGTATGATGTCAACCAACTTCTCATGATGGGGTACTGCGCCGTATACTTGGACATCATGCTGGATTGGAGAGTTTCCTTTGTCAAACAACTCCTCTGAGGTTTCTTAAAATGGATTTTAACATTTGAAATCCGTGTAACAGCAACTTTTAGAATTTTGAAATTTCTTTTGGAAAACCTAAGATAAGTTCCCCACAAAATAGGGAAATATATGGCATACTTCTCTCTTGATATGCAAACTTGGCTGCCCAATTATGTATTTATGTTCAGAATTTTGAAATTTCTTCTGGAATCAAAGATACAATTACCTACAAAATAAGGAAATATATATATGGCATACCATTCTCTTGTATATGCAAACTTGGCTGCCCAATTATGTATTTATGTTCAGAATTTTGAAATTTCTTCTGGAATCAAAGATACAATTACCTACAAAATAGCGAAATATATATATGGCATACCTCTCTCTTGTATATGCAAACTTGGCTGCCCAATTATGTATTTGTGTTCATCAGAGTTCTAAATGATTATGGCAACAAACAGTGGGGAAGTGGCATGTCCAAATTAGGCATAATAAAAATGGGAAAGAGTTGGATGGCAGTTGTTGACCTGATGTTGGACAAGACCCATCTCTTTTTTCACTCTGGAGTAGTGAGCTGACATCTGCAGTGACCCTTCCTCTACATGGTCGTGACCTTTGTAATTTGGTGTGTTCACCCTCCACTCTACAACTGCTCAACCCATCAAAATTTCATCACCTATATCTAACAGAATCTCTGCCGGCTGAGATATACTACATTGAATTTCTCTGGCTGCATGTGGCTTATAAATAAACAAACATGTGATTCTCAAAAGAGTAATTTGATTTTGCTAATATTAACTCTGAACAATCTATCTAGTGTTATTTTGGTGATAAACTCTGGAGACATCATTGAGAGAGAATTCTTTCTTGCAGGTAGTAGAAAATTATTTTATACAAAAAAAAAAAGAAACATACATGTTAGAAATAATTTGTTGTTGTTGTTGTTGTCATGTCCAAAGAAGAGTCTTAGATGTCTCCATGCATCTACATCACATCAGCAGCAATATCCACTATCTTGCTCTTCATTGGAAAATGGGTGCCGTTGCCACGTTAGTCACCTTGAAAACGAACCAGAATTGGGTCGAATATTCCAAGGGTCCAGGGGGGACCGCAGGGAGGTGTGGTCGGACTTCTCCCCCCCGAGAAATAATTTTAATTTCTAATAACAGATGGCATGCCGATCAATAATGTAAATACTTCTTTCTCTTTGTAAACCTTGTAGAATGTTGTGATTCTGGCAGCAATAGTGCTCCAGACTGTATTGGTGGGAAGAGCTGTGTCCAAATAAGGCATAACAAAATGGGACAATTGTTGACAGGCTGTAGGATAAGACAGAGATGACTGTTGTGATTCTGGCAGCAATGGTATAAACTGTACTGACACTGTACTGTGCAGGTTAGACAAACTGGCAGCTGAGGTGGTGCCACTCACCAGACGAGGACCTCTTGTCGTTCTCTGTGTGCTGAAGGGGGCGTTCCAGTTCTGCACGGACCTGCTGGAACGGGTCAAACAGCAATCTCTCTCTTACCCCGGCAAAAGTCATCCCATCACCCTGGAGTTTATCCGGTTACGGAGCTACAGGGTACGTAGACATCCTTAGAGTAGACATCCTCTTCCCTGCCATTCATATATGGTTAATATTTACATCAATTGGATCTCACTGTAAAGTAAAAAAAATCAGTACATTAATGCTGGTCTTAAGGCAGGAGACCAAATATGTGGACAACAGACACAGGTTGTCTCTTAACAGACAGACAAAAGGATCAATTAAGAAAGAAAAAAGGCATCTTATTGTGAACTGAAAGTTGCTGATGGCTTGCACCATCTATCGGAATAAATATCAACTATTTGTTGATACAGTTAAACCTGTCTATAGCGCCCCCTCTTGGGACTCACCAAAATAGGGTGCTATAGACAGGTCACTTTTAATGTAAAATGTTTACATTTTAATGTTTAAAATCAGGCGCTATAGAGAGGAAGGCGCTATTTAGAGGGGGCACTATAGACAGGTTTAACTGTATATATATATATATAATCTTTTCACTATACTGTAATAGTGCAGAAATTAGAGAGTTTTATATATGTATACGTTAAAACTTCTAATACAACCTATGTTGTTTACAAAATTAATTTTAAAAATTCACAATGAGTTTTTTTTTTATTATTAAACCACCATGCAAGCTTTCAAGTGGAAGTTGTTCCTACAATCAAGCTATATCAACTTTACTTAGGATTGTTTTCATATGTATGTGTGTAGCATTCCTATTGGCTTCTTAAAGACAGCCTATTAGGGTATTATTCAGCTTTCTGTGAATCTGATAGTGATGAAACCATTGATTGTGAGGATTAGAGTGAATCCTTATCTTCAGAATTATCCAAGAGATAAAGCATACTCCAGTCAATTTAACAGATTTTATTTTTTTCATTCTGAAACATTCTGAGCTACTCTCACTTTCTAGGAGTTTTCAAACAGACCCTCTATCAATTTCTCCTCAACCAGCCAGCCATAGGTTGGCAGCTGGCAGTATTCCTCTCAGAGCTTTTTTTCAATGGCTAGTCTTTTGATTGTTTTTCAAATTAGAGATACTTCGGCCAGTAAATCTTCAAAAAATTTAAAGATTTACTGGCCGAAGTATTTTTAATTTGAACAACTATAAATGCTGGCCAGGCAGCCTCTAACTTTACGATAGTCTTTTGATGGTATTGTAGAACCTTCTTCCAAAATGGTCCAAGAATTCCATTCTCAGCTTTCCTCTTTCTTCTTATTCCTTCCCTCCATCAAGACCTTCATTTACTCCGAGATGTCCAAACATGCTGGTTCTTCTTCTCTTACTCCTCTCCATTAGGCCATATCCCTTCTTTGTAAATTTTGGGATATCTTCATTGGTCTAATCTGGCAGTTCTCATCATTGAACATTTGCACTGCAATTTGAAAGTCTTTTTGTTTTTCAAGGAATTCTCTTTGGTGATCTTGAGAAGAGGAATGTGGTAGGTTTCTTTTGCCACTACAGTGATACTGAAGCTGAATCCTAGCCTTACATACAAAAAAGTAAAGTAACACTCAAACCTAGACCAAATTAGGATACCAAGGTTTTAGAACGACATTTGAAAATTATCCCGCATGTGTTTCTTTTGAATGAAAAAATCGAAATTTATTTTAAGGAGAAATAACGATTATTTCTAACCTTAGGGATGAAGTATGAGAGGATGAATTGTGAAGAGTAATGATGAACGAAAAAATAAAAGTGTCCAGAGATGGGAATCTAACCCACAGTGTTCCGCTTACTGGGCAGATGCCATGTCCACTAGGCTACCCTGGACATATTTTTCTGTTCGTAAATATTATATAAAGTAATTTATAATAGAATATAATGTAGCTTATAAGGTTTTCTTTGTTATTAGGATCTCACCTCATGTTGTATCTCTATATAAATCCTACATCTTATATACAACAATGTACCATATACAGTCAAACCTGTCTTGGAGGTTTACATTTGGTTCCAAGAAAAAATGCACACAAAAGATTGGTGACTTCTAAGACTGGTTGAATAAAATTATATAAAATAAAGCTATTCATATGCAAATTTAATGTGATGCTCTTAATATAGGATATTCAACACATTTAACCTTTAGGGATTTAACAAATTTTAGAAGTGAATGAGTTTAACAGGGTCGGATTTATTGGAAAACAAATGATTTCACTAAAAGTGGGAATTCCCATTAAGACAGAAAAACTTCCAAGACAGGTTTTACCGTATATTTGACCTTGAAACTGGGTGTAGTTAGCACGGAGTGAACATAGAGCCAATGATTCTGGTGGAAATACATTTAATTATTATAATTTTTTAGGGGGTTTCCCCTTTATTGCAGTCTAGAATGCAAGTATCACTTTTTTTTAGCATTTCTGAAAAATTACCTCATTATCAATGTTACATTATCAAGGTTTCAAACTTTGGCTCTCTTGAAAAATCTTAGGCTGCAATTTATATTGTTAATGTTTTGTGTTCTAAAATATTTCCATTTTTGTTCAATATGAGTTGACTGTACTAATCAGCCGATGTCGTACATGCGCGAGGTTAATGGTGGATGTGTGGTCAGAACGACAAGTCTACAGGCAACGTGGAGGTGGTGGGAATGGACGACTTGGAATCCCTCGCAGATAAGGTGAGTGTTGTAGACATGGTCTATCTTATTGGTTGAAGTCTAAATGTCTTTTACTGCTTTTATTTCTGGTGGTCCCTAGCCAACTCTGGATGCCACATGACAATGGCAAGGTGAGAGATGGTGGACTTCAGTCATAACCTTTTACAGTAGAACCTTCCTTTAGCGGACACCTCTCTACAAAGAACAGTTTTCATTTACAAAATTACCAATTTTACTATTTAGCAACTCTCCGGTAAGAGGACACCTCTCCCTAAAGGACACTAAGTGCAATTCTCAGCCTGCAACCCCATGACATATTATTGACTGTATTGACTCATCCATTGATGAGCTCTACTCTTCCCCGGCAGACACCATAAAAAATCTCAAGCTTTACAAGCTTGATACCTTAGTGTGATTGAGTGGAGATAAGAAAGAAGAAGAAGAAAAAGGACACTTCTCCCTAAAGCTTGATACCTTAGTGTGATTGAGTGGAGATAAGAAAGAAGAAGAAGAAGGACACTTCTCCCTAAAGGACACTTTGACTCTGCAATTAAGTGTCCTTTACAGGGAGGTTCTACTGTATATCTAGGAGAAGGAAATCTCATATTTTAAACCAAGGGCAGTTGGGACTCTTCTTAACCTAGGGGGACGAGGTCTGACTGTCATGTGGTGGATAGCCAACCAACAACAGCAGCTCTCCATCATGGAGACTTATGGACTAAGACAGGACCTCCCTATATTCCAACCCTACCAAGATTATAAATTTAATCCATAAATTTAGCCTCCATGACCTTGTATAATTATATACAATGGGATAATAAAAAAAAAAAAAAACCTTTGATTGGCAATTAATTCCCCTATAAGACAACTTGGATCATACAGATCTATGATGGCCGACCAGAGAGGATGGAACTGGAGGAAGATAATGATCAAACTAAGTTTGGACCTGATAAAGCACAATTTGGATTAGGAATTATAGCTACAAGAAAATAAGTCCTAATCCAAATAAAAAGTGTGTGATGTTTTGGTGACAATGTTGTTACCGAAATGTAACACTATATAATATATAATGCGGCTTATGATTGTAGAACGATGTTTGACAAGTTTTACCGCAAATGTTTCTTTTGAACGAAAAATCGTAATTTATTTTAAGGAGAAATAACAATTATTTCTAACCTTAGGGATGAAGTGTGAAAGGATGAATTGTGAAGAGTAATGATAAACGGAAAAATAAAGTGTCCAGGGATGGGAATCGAACCCACAGTGTTCCGCTTACCGGGCAGATGCCATGTCCAGGCTTCGATTTTTCGTTCGAAAGAAACATTTGCGGTATAATTGTCAAATTTCATTCTACTATATATAATTTATTTGGATTAGGTCTTAATACCTCAAGTTTGGAGGTGTTGAGCACTTTTTATGAAATCTAATAAAGAATTCATACATTGTAGAGGTTCTCTGAAGTTGACTGGTAAGATGTGAACCTACTGGTTGTTGGATCTACATTTTTACAGGCTTCGGTGCTATCTTTAAAATAAGCAAGTCTTAGGATGCTCCATTCTTAACTGTGAGACTCTGCTATACCTGAAGAATGTCTGTCACATGCTGATGGTAGAGAAAGGAGTACACATGCAGTGCACATTTGTAAGTGCAAAGTCGAACTGATTTTCACATGTGTAGACATGTGGTGCATTTACAGTAAAAGCAGCTGCCTACTTCTACCCACCATGATTATCATGACCTGTACCATGTGTTTTTATTTTTTGCTTATCCCTAGTACACGTGGTACAGGCCATGATAATCATGGTGGGTAGTTAGCGACTGCTTTTACTGTAAGTGCACCGCATGTCTACACATGTGTAAAGCAGTTCGACTTTGCACTTACAAATGTGCCAGAGCCCCGTTTGGTTGCTTGCACTCGCTGGTGGGGTTGGACTTTTGCAAGAATTGGGGGCCATTGGAGCATTTTTTTTTTAACAGAAAAAAGTGTCCAATGCCGGAATCGAACCCATGTCGTAGTGGTCGAAAACCAAGCGGTTTAACCAGCCTTCCACCCGACCCCCTTAAAGTACCATGTGTACTAGGAATAAGCAAAAAAAAAAAAAAAAAGAAAGGAGTCTTAATTATTAGCCTTTATAGAAATGAAAATGTGTGAATTCAATGAAAAGTTGGAGAATGTTATATGGGTAGAGATACATTTTTGAAGATCATTTGTTGGTTGGAAGTTTGTTTGGGAAAAAGATATATCTCTACATCAACTAATATTTTATTTAGTTATTGAAATTTCAGTGCCTCTCAGTCCCTCTCCTTAGGAGAATGACAGTGTCACTGAAACATCGGAAACTAAATAAAATATTAGTTGATGCAGCTATATCTTTTTCCAGAGATAAAATTAGAACTACAAACTAATAAGACCAAATATAAATGGATTTAGTCTTATTAGTTTGTAGTTCTAATCTATAATCCAAATTGTGCCCTTTTATCAGAGATAAAATGATTAATGAAGAGACAGTTCGAGAAGAGCTTAAGAAAGATGAAAACAAATGAAGTAAAAAGAGATGGGAGCACTGAGCTGTAAGAAGTTGGAACTCCCTGATGTTTTATAATGACTTGAAGTGAGAGAATCCACAGTAATTGACAGTCACCAAAGATCGGCCGTAGCACCAAATCAAACAACTGGTCTATAGCTATGGAGCTTTGTTACTGTTTTCTGGACCTGCTTTTACTACAACACTGGAGAATAAGAGATAGCCATTATAAAAATTTTTACTTAAATCAAATTTGAGAGCTATTTTTACCATATCTAGTCTTCTTTCTTCTTCATTCTTATCTCCACTCAATCATATTAAGGTATCAAGCTTGTAAAGCTTGAGACTTTTGATGGTGTCTGCCGGGGAAGAGTAGAGCTCATCAATGGATCAGTCAATACAGTCAATAATGTGTTTTGGGGTTGCAGACCATATCTAGTGGAACTCTACTATAACAGCCTTTTTCACAACAATCTTGTTATAAACTCACACTCTTCTAAAAATCCCAAGTTTTAAAAGTTTCATTGTTTTAAATATCGTTACAATAACAACATGGATATAAATAAAAAATATTAAGACCAAATCCAAATAAATAAATAGTGTTTGATGTTTAGATAACAGTTGTGTTACCATCATTAGACAAAAGACTGAATGAGAAAAAAATATCACAGCATGTTCTTAAATAGTTAGTACTGTTACCAAGTGTGTAAACAAGATAGTAGATAATTATAGGCTCTTCTTATCTGCTATCTTATTTACACACTTGGTAACAATACTAATTATTTACATGCTGTGATATTTTTCTCATTAAATCTTTTGTCTGATGATGATAACATCGTTGTTAATGAATAGTCACACACAATTTATTATTTGGGTTTGTTCTTATTATCTTGTGTTTCTTTGCTTTTCACATGTATAGACATGTAGTGCAATTACAGTAAAAGCAGTCACCTTCTTCTACCCACCAGGATTATCACGGCCTGTACCATGTGTACTAGGGATAAGCAAAAAAAATCTTGTGTTTCTAGTCTATAATCCAAATTATACCTTATCAATATGGTTTATAACATCAGTCCCAAGTGATGTTGTTATAACGAGGTTATAATGTTTGGTGTTATAGTATTGCCATATCCAACACCTCCATTACATTAGGTATCTGGATTTAGAGAGTTGCAATTTCTCTGTTATATTTGTCTAGTTTTGAAACTACAGGGAAGTTTTGTTTTGTGCCCGTCTGGAAACCAACAGCTGCTGAAACAAGTGTATTACTTGATCCAACTACACCTGTGTTTTTTTTTTTTTGTGTATTTCTCAATTCAAGCACTTTGTTATTTGATATATCATATTTAGTATTCTCATCTAATTGAACTGGCTGAGGTAAGGATGGTTGTGACTTTCATGTTGTTTTTCTACCATGCTTGTGTAAGTTTCTGACATCTTTTAGTACTTGTTACTTGGGTTATATAATCACCTGGAACAAATTCCTAAATTTGTTACTCTTTCATATGAAGTTTATTCATTTCTTTTTCCCTTCTTGCCCTCTCTCAGCTGAAAAATATTGAGGTATTTATGGGAGCTGGGCAGATAGTTAGCATTTATCTGTAAATTATAAATGTGTTGTTGTTGTTGTCGTGCACAATAAAGAGCCTCAG